GCTGAAGGCCACTCTGACCCTTTCTCCAACTTCCTCTTTAATGTCTCCATAGACCAGAGAGACAAGACAGGAGCCAAATAAACACAATTCTGCCCCAGGAAACGGACCTTCCACGGATTCTCGCACCCGTGGAGGGAGGCGTGGGAGCGGGTGGGGGTGCGAGGCATGGGAAGGAGGGATGAAGTAGGCCTCAGCATCACTGGGACCCACAGGATCGACCCGCTGGGCACCCCCCCCGGCCCTGTACGAGGAGATCCTAATGAAAAGTGTCAGTGGGCTGAGTTCCCACCGCTGCACCTCCAGGAACTGTCTCGAAAACAAGAGCACTGTATTTTCATCAATTCAGTAAATCACACAGATGGGAAACTAAACTGCTTCTTGCATCGGGAGAACACAGGAAGATTGATCACAGAATTAGGCTGGCCTCCCGCAGTGCCCCGGGCTGATCCGAGCCTTCTCGGGGCTGATCCGAAGGCTCAGGACGAGCGCCGACAGCAGCCCCCACTGACCACGGAGTCTCCTTTGTATGGCGGGTCCCACGGCACCGCCCACCTGACGGTGCTGGAGGAGGCAGCCCGTGCATCAATCAGCGCCACGGTGGACAGCCGTGATTAGATTATAAAATCATGACTGTGGCCGTCGTGTGTCTGCTGGCATAATTACATCAGCATGCTAATGCCGTTTTAATGGTCTCTAATGATGTAATAAGAAATAATGGAATTTATTTGACAGCTACATAACCATTAAGAAAACATATTAAGTACAACTGGTACTTCCATAAAAACGTAGACAGTCTCTGAAAGCGCCAGCTTGCGTGGCGGCCCCTCTTCCTCTCCTGGAACAAGGAACAGCCGTGGCCACACAGCAGCCCCCTTCCAAGGCCTCCACTGTGCTGGGTCAGGTATGCACCCCTCGGGAGGAGCGAAGTTCACAGCACACACACAGTAAGTAAAGATCCAGAGGTGTGGCACAGACGTGAGCCAGCCAGATGGGGGGCTGCAGAGAAGGCTCTGGCACCAGGAGGCCCAGCTTGAGATTTGAAACATGAACCCTATAAAGAGCAGGGAAGACTGGGCATCTCCAGCCATAGGGAAGGACCCACTTGACGGCCACGGACCGGATTCCCAACGGCGTAAAGAGAAGGTGGTGGTGGTGTCAGATGTGGCTCATAGGACACAGGAAGCCCACCCCCCAGTTTTCCCAGCAAGGAAGAGACTGTAGCAAAAGACATTTACAAAGGATTTGATCTGGCCACCAGCTTGGCCAGAAGGTGCTCCCTGGAAACGCCTCCGTGCCCCCAGCCTCCTCCAATACGAAAGGGCTTTGTGTGGGAAGGTCTGAGACCTGAAGTCAGGAGCAGACCCAAGGTACAGGCCTGGGACAGAGGGACTGCAGCCAGCTTCCAGCAGATGTCTGCACAGGACACCCCCCATCAGATGTCCTCCCACCAGATGCCCCCCCTCCCCGCACACCCCCCCCCCCCCAGCAGATGCCCCTCCAGTCCTGACATGCCCCCCACAGGACACCCTCTCCAGACACCCCCCCACAGGACACCCCCTCCAGACACCCCCCACCGGACACCCCCCCAGCAGACGTCCCTCTGGTCCTGACACCCCTTCCCCCAGAAGCCCCTCCAGTCCCCAAGTCTGCCTGGCCTAGCCCTGGCCCTTGCCCTGCTGCAGCTGCTCTGAGAGTCTCTTAGAAGCCGACCACCTTGCTGAGAATGTGGAGAAATCTAGGTGGCAGGTGGGCAATGTAGAAACAGGGGACATGGCATCCAGACTCTACCCAGGGCTAAACATGTTTCTGGGCCTTGGAAACCCGTGTCATGTTCTCTCCAGGAGGGGACTTCAAACCGTAGCTGCCTATGGACGTCATGGAGACGTCATCAGCAGCTGCCTCGTGTAAAAGGCTCAGTCCCGCGTGTTCTGCTCAGTGGGCTCGTCCCCTGGGATCTGCCCCTGGGGCCGGGCGATGAAGCAGGCCGCCACGGTGGGCTTCGGCCTGGCCCAAGCGTAGTGCCCCTCCTCGGCGGTGGGCTCGGGGCCACACCCACCTGACCCACCTTGGGGCTCCCAGCCCGCCGTGCTCCCATCTGTCTTGAGGATGCCCCCCTCCCCACCCCCACCACATCAGCAGCCCTGTGCCTGGGTCATGGTGCAAACACACCCCGGACTTCTCACCCAGAAGCTGGGGGGGGGGGGGGGGCAAATCTCCAGGAAACACAAAGCCCTCCCCGAGTGAAGGGACCTCTGCCCTCTATCTGGTACACAGTCAACATGAAGGCAAAAGGAAATAATGAAAATTCAATCCATTCAGTCCCCAGTGGGCCAGACGAAGTTTTACTCTGAAGTCTCTCCGTGTGATTACGTTTGTTGTCTAATTTTCTCAATAATGGGCCTGAGCCATGATAACATTCTCCAATTGTGCAGCCCACCCCGGCGGCGAGCTCCTCCTGGAGATACAAATCCTTCTTATTATTTCCTGCCCTGACTGCTCCCGGGACATTCTCAACGGTAACGACAGAGGCACCGATTCATTTGCTCCCTCAGCGGCACACGAGCCCTCGCACCAGCAGGTGAAGTTCCAAGGCCCAAGGAAGCACAGGCAGGCTCTGTCCCTTCCTGTGGACGGAGGGATGAGGAATGTGAGGAACGACCCGCTGCTGCTGCTGAGGGCAGTGTGGGTGCCAGGCCCACCCCGTGCCATCCCTCATTCTGGTATGGGGGCATTTAAATGTAGGTATTTTTATTTTTTTCATTTCTTTTTTAAATTTTTTATTTTTAAGTAACATTTATTTATTTGGGAGAGAGAGATAGAGAGTGTGTGCACGCAGGGGAGGGGCAGAGAGGAGAGAAAGAATCCCCAGCAGCCTCCGCGCTCTCAGCGCAGAGCCCAGTGCAGGGCTCGAACCCATGAACTGTGACACCATGACGTGAGCTGGTATCAAGAGTCAGACGCTCAACCGACGGAGCCACCCAGGTGCCCCTGTCATGGGATGCATGTCCACGCCGTGCAGTCTCTGTGCTGGGTGCCTCCCGGGAACATGTGTCAGTGACTGCTGTGACCCCTGACCTTGGGGTCTGGTGGCGAAGACCGAAAATGACCAGCCATGTGTGGGGTGCGGGCAGGGACAGGGTAGGCGTGCTCAGGAAATCTCCCTCTGCTTCCTCGAAGGGACCAGCCAGGACTGGCTCTCTGTGTGTGCAATCCTGTTTAACCGCAGCCTGTGGAGACCATGCAGGGGGCAAAGGGCCAGTGCCCGCCTCCCTGGGCTGTGCTCACAGTGAGCTCCCGAGTTGGACAGCCTCACCCCTTCTGCAGGGCCACATACAGATGGGCAGTGCCCGGACGCCCGCACAGAGCTGCCAAACGATCCTGCGTGGAACGGAATGTGCTTTGGCAAAGGACAATCCTAAAGGGCCTGCGAGGTGCCGGGCGGGGATGGGAGCTGCCCCCGGAGGGCCGGCGTGTGGTTTTAGCAGACATGGTGACTCCCAGTCTCAAAGCTACGGCCCACATTCATGATTTCCTCTCCGAGGCTCAAACCCCAGCCAGGATGGGGTGGGCATCATCACCTCTCACCTAGAAACCTCAGTGGCCCCAAGTCACTTGGGCCTCCATTCGCGTCCCTTGTCATTCACTGTGGACGCAGCTAGAGATACACTCTCCTGACAAAAGCTGTCCAGTGGCTTCCCAGCACACGGAAGCAAAGCTGAGCTCCTCACGAGGGCCTGCGGGCCCCCCGAGCTGCCCTGGCTGTTGGCACGGGACGCAGCCCCCCTGCTTGTAGGCAGCTCCTCCGTCCTGGCTGGGCGCCTCCTCTCCGGTCCTCGCGGCCTCAGTCCCTTCCTTTCCACGTGAACCAGGGCAGCCCGGCCTTCCCCAGCTCTGTCCTGCATTTGTTTCTGCTGAAATGTCATGCTCTCTGCTCCACCCGTGGCCTGGCACTCGTAGATCCTTGTTGAAACATTGCATCTTGTGGACGGTCACGTTTGCCGGTGCGCAGATGGTACAAGGGCCCTCGTTAGCTGGAGAGAACGGGCGGACTGTCATCGGTGGCAAGGAGCCCAGCGAAGTGCATCTCGGCTTACTGTTCAGACCAGGACTTGGCCTTGGCCCCTCTCTCCCAACTTCTGGCTCCTCCCTACTCACAACGAAGGGTGACGCACTTCGGAATGAATACCAGCAGCAGGTACGGATCTTGGAAAGCCGCACAGAGTAGGAGACTCGCAGACGGTCAGAGGAACCGTATTTCCAGGACCGAAGGCCCAGGGCCAGCTTCTCGCATCAACAGATGTCTCGGCTGAGCCCTTTGTCTCTGGGCCGAGTGGCTCACGGCACACGCACTGCTGCGTCCCGACGCTGCCTTCTGAACTGACCTCCAGTCCAGACCCCCGAGCTGGGACATGCTGGTCTGTCCACACCTGCTCTCACTTACTCCATTTGTTACACTTCCAGGTACCCGGCTCTGTGCAGTCCTGCCCCACACTGTGGACTTGCCACGTGTCAGCACCCCAGGCCCCAGCTGGGCCACTGATGACCAGACAGGCTGGCGGGGCTGGGGTGGCCCAGCTCTTCCCCTTGGTGCAGCGAGTACCCGGCAGGTCTGTAGGCACTCAATAAATGCTGACTTTTCACGGACACGTGCCATCCCCTGGGCTTTGACTCATCTGCAGTGGGGTGGGGCACAGGCCCCAGAATGTTCTAGAGCCTCCCAGGCAATTCTAGGTGCAGCAGGGCTGAGAACCACGGCCCCAGGGGGCCTTGCCTTTCCAGGAGATTATAATTTTTACAATTACACTCCAGTTCCTTCTGTGCTTAAATAACTTACCAAACCCACCTGAAATTTCCTTTCCATTTCTTTCCTGCACTGTTTCTCTCTGATATAATTAACAAGAACCCCAGGCACACAGTTCTTTCCCTTGCAAACCAATTTATGAAACGGAACCTGATGTGAGCAGAGAATAAAACCCCAGGGCCCCGCACCCGACACTCACACGATGTCTGCGAAGACACTCATCGGCACCTCCAGGAGTTGCGCCACGCCCTCCATCAGCTCCTTCCCCTTTTCTGGGCTCAGGGGGCTGTTGAGGAGAGCGGGGGGCAGCGTTACAAAATGGAACTCATCAACACTTGAGAAGCTGCACGTCCCCCCGTGCCCCCGCCGTGGCGCCTGCGGTATTCCCGTCACACGGTGGCCAGGCTCTCAGGGCAGCCGGGATCAGGTGCGTCTTCAGGCGTGATGAATCACCCGAATTTCCCAGCGACGAGACAAACAATACAGTGCAAATGGAATTGTTAGACGCGTAATGGGCCCATGATGCAGTGACGGCTCATCTCAGCCTTCAATAAAAAATGTAATAGGGAGGGGGGGGGGGGAGGGCGGACGAGAAGGAGAGGAGAGACAGGACACGGAGGGAGGCAGATGCTGAAGATCAAATTTCAGGACAAAGGAAGCACACATTTTTTAAATGGACTCGTCTCTACAACGAGTGATGTGCCAATGGCAGATACGCGAGTGGGCCACACTCGAAGGTAAAGTGAGACCGATGGGCGCCCCGCAGGGACCCCCGAAAGGGGCACGCGTGCTCCAAGACAGCGTGCCCCGGGCCTGCAGGACGGCCGGCTCCACGGTCACCGTGGAGCTCAGAGTTCCCGTTACACGCCCTGAATCCCAGCACACGGTGCCGTAACTCGTGCCTTGCCTGTGAAACCCTCTTAGCGGCATTTCGTGGAATATTCTGTCACGCTGTCCTGGAAAAACTGTCATGCAGCAGGGGTTTCAAGCCGGCTGACTGCTCGCCCCCTTGGCAAACGTGCGGGAAGACCGGCCGGGGCAGCCAGGGGCAGACGGAGCCCTGCCCTCCCGGGGCTGCGGGCGGGCGGCACACGGGCCCCGAGACAAACCGGGCATCAAACGGTGTCACCCCAACTCCACACATGCCTACAGCCAGAGACGCAGAATGTGACCTTGCGTGGACAGAGGTCACCGCCGACCACCATGCGAAGATGAGCTCGGCAGGGTGCTTCCTAATCCAACGTCCCCGGTGTCCTTGTAGGGAGAGGACACACACACAGGTGATTCTGGAAGCATCCAGGGTTCCTGTGGCTCCAAGGGCTGATGGGGTGCAGGGTGCAGGTGGGGCCTGCAGGCTTGGGATACGTGACGGTAGTGGGGGGGAGGGGTTGTCGACACCAGCAGGTGACCCGGGACCACGCAAGACGGAGAAGCCACTGGAAGGAAAGGTGGGGGATTCCACCGTGGGCACCTCACAACAGAGCCCGAACGGAGCATCTGCGCCGGGGAGGTGAGCGCTCACCGCAGCCCAGAGCCGCACGAGAGGAGACACGTCCAGGGCTGGTGAGCAGGTGGGGACGGTAGCTAAAGCGGGATTCCCTGGGGACAGAATCCCTGGGGACAGGAGGAGCCGGCAGAGGGGCCGAGGACCCCCCGAGGTCTCAGGTGGAGACAAAGAAGCCGGCCTGGGTTGGGAAGGTGTGGCTTGCCCTGCAAACACCCCGGGGTTTCCCACGCAAGTGCGGCCGCCCCTGAGGCCGACCGCCCATTCCCCAGGGGGAGGCTGGCACCCAGCCGCCCCCCACCACCTTCTCTGGGCGGGGACAGGAGCTGGACTTCTTGTAGATGCCGGTTTCTGCCGGTGGCTGCCTCTTTGCCAAGGCCAGGCCTGCTCCCCACACCTCACCCGGTCATTCTGGACCTCTTGTGAACTCCCAGGGTGCTGTTCGGTCCCTCCATCCCGCTTCTCGAGCGGGCGAGCGGTCCCCAGGGCCGGGGGCCCTTCTGTGAAGGACAGACAAGTCCTCCAAGTCCCCGAGGGCACAGGGGCTGTTCGCGCTGTGCTTTAAAATAAGGGTACATTTTCCAATCGGTGTGTGCACCCTTCCACCTCGTGACCCCACCCCACTTAGAAATCCCCCCGGACATCAGACCCCATGTCACAGGCCCACCAGAGGTAGGATGCCAACTGGGGAAGGAGTCCACCTGGAACCTCTGTGTCTTCATCATCACTCCCTGCCTGTCCACCCGGAGCTGCGGGCTGGAGCCCAGAGCCCCGGGAGGGTCTGTATCTCGACAGTCTGCTGGGACTTTACACCACCCTGGGGAAAGGCCACGGGGGTGTGTGCAGACTCGAGAAAGGGCTCCTGGTCACAAGAACAGGGGGCAGCGATGCCAGGAAGGCGTGTTCATTAGAGGTCAGGCCCTGGAGAAAGGACCTCAGCCGCACAAAGCCCTGTCCCGTGCCGTGTGCGCCAGCAACGCGAGCGGGGCCTGGAGGCACAGCTCCACTGCCTCTGCTCCTCAGGGCCCCCAGCCAGCCGCTCCTCCCTAGCCGCTCCTCCTGGGGCCAGGCCGCTCCTCCCCAGCTGCTCTTCCCGGGGCCAGGCCGCTCCTCCCCGACCCGGCCCTCCCGGACCCAGCACAGGGCGCGCAGCCAACGAGTATCCACAAGAGGGAGAGACCAGCCTTGATGAGGCCACCCTGAGCACGGAAGCCACGTCTCCAGGCCAGGCTCCGCCCAGGACCAGGTCTCTCGCATCACCGACCACTCGTGCTCTGCCTCCTGGGGCTGGCCCCCACAAGCCCTCCTGACCACTGAGCTCATGGCCTGCCCCCGCTGCCCCCACTGCCAGCCTGGCGGCTCCCAGGGTGGCTCCCGCTGACCTCTCAGGGCGGGCCAATGAGTGCGGCCAGGCAAGGCCTTCACACCTTAGCTCCTCTCGCCTCTCCGGCACCAAGAGCCGGACTGAGATGCAGGCTCCTCTGTGGGTCCCAGGGTCTCATTGAGGGGGGACTCGGTCCCTGCACCAGGACACCCACATGCGGACACAGCAGGTGTGACGGATGTATTAATGGCACAAATAAGCGAATACACAGGAAAGTGTCAGAAAGTCTGCATTTAACACCGTTAACATGTACGTCGGTAAAGGAGGCCCACCCAGCAGGCAGAAGCTACTGTGTGAATCAAGCCCCTTAAAACTCGCATGACTTTCCAGCCTGAGGCCCCAGATTACTAACAGCCTAATCCCAGCCTCACAGACACACTTCTGGGGTGGCTCCGTGTGGGAACTTATCTGAGCTCCTCCCTGGACCCACACAAGCACACCTGTCTTCACCCGTCTCTCCAGGGAGAGCCGTGACCTGTTCTTGGTCAGTGGCTTCTCAGGGTGGTTTTCTGTGTCATTTTACAAAACAGATAATCGACTGTCCTTGAAACAGGAGGACCTCCTATCTTCCTTTCCTGCCCGCTCCAAGAGGGGACACATTCTGTGCCCAGGCTCTGCCGGATCCTCCAACACCCCCCAGCTTGCAAAGGGCACCGGGGAACCAGTGTCCGAAAGGCAGTGTCGAGACAAGTCCCGACAAACGCTGCTCTGGTGACCGCCTCAGACAACACGGCCTCAGCTGTTCCATTTGGGGTGCTGTTCCTCTCAGTGTCACACAACAGAGATGAATGAGGCCATGCTCGGTGTCATCCACATGCATAGACGGTAACTGCCTGCACGGGTCACCCACAAAGGCATCAGAGTCAACAGTGGGACCATAAGAAGTCTCCTAGTTGTGAAAAAACCCAGAGTCGTAACACTGGAATTCCAGAAGGTGGAACAGAACGTGCAAATGTAATCCAGCAGACACGACATCCCCAGAGAGGAAGCCCAGAGCTGCTGGGTTGCTTTTTCTCGCAGAGAGAGGAGAGAACAGGGTCCACCTGGGGACAGGCAATCAGAACACTCCTGAAAGAAGCAGCTAGAAGGGGCTTCCCCTTATGCACAGGCGCTCCCGGCTCGGAAACACCTGCAGAAGCCTTGGCTGCCAGAACATGCCCCAGGGCACTGGGCTGAGACCCTGGAAATGCACGTGGGTGGTGACCCCAGGGACACGTGCGCACTCTGGCTGCTGCTGGCTGGCCACGCTCTACTCCCCGCACTTCTCACCCCTACCCCTGAACGCCCCCCACAGATCCTCAGGACAGAGGTGAAGGCATTGAGGTTTCCACAAACGAGATCCCTTCTCCGCAAAGCGAGATCCCTTCCCACATCTGGCTCCCTGTGCATCCAGCAAGTGGAACACAGGCGTGCTTGGAGGAACGGTCAGAACCACAGTCAGAACCACAGGGCCTTGGCCCCGCACCCTTGGATCCCGGAGAGTCTGAACGGATGACAGGAACACACATAAACGGCCAATGAGGTGCTTCATTTCAAGGGGCAGCAGCAGGCACAAGGCTGAGTTGAATGACAGTTGGAAACCGGCAGTGAGATGACGTCACTAGGTACTGAGGTAGGAAAACAAAGCTCAGGCTGATGCTGCATGCGATGACGGTGCCCCCGGGGCCCCACCCAGCTCACTGTCCCGCTCCTTCGTCCCCCACGTGGGGCTGGCAGCCCGGGCCGCACGGTCAGGACCATCTTTCTTCCTGTGACCTCTCAGAACATGCTTTGCCTGCGAACGTGCCTGTACACCGCTGAGGATGCTGTCAGCGGTGGGTGTGCGGGAGCCTCCCGGCTACCGCGGGGCCGCGAAAGCTGGTTTCCCTGATGGCCTACCCCCCACCCGGCCCTGTGCTCTGAGAAGAGAATCCAAGCTGGAGTCCTGGCCCTGTGGTGACGATGGGCAAGGGAAGTAGCTCCACGTGGCCCGTGAGAGGAGAAATCTGATGAGACAGTAAGGACTCCCCTGGGCTGCACACACACACCTGCACGCACGCACCTGCACATACTCGCCTGCATGCACACCCCTGCGTGTGCACACACTCATGCACATACACACACACACACACACACAGGGAGAGGAAGTGTCTGATGAGACAGTAAGAATTCCCCCAGGCTGCATGCACACACACACACACCTGCACACACACACACCTGCGCATGCACACCTGCACACAAACACACTTATGCACACATACACACCTGCACACGCACCTGCATACACACCTACACACATCTGCACACAACACACCTGCACACCTGCACACATACCTGTGCATACACACTTGCACACATACCTGCACATACACGTCTGTGCATACACACCTGCACACGTGCGCGCGCGCGCGCACACACA